TATATATAATACATACATACACAGACCAGAGGCATCTCAGATTCCCAACTCTTCAACTGTCACTTACCTCTTCCAGCAGGGGTGCAGTAATGAAGCAGGGAGCCCAGCAGGTGGTCATGTGACCACCCGCCCGGCTTCTTGATTGGATGGGAAGGCTGGGAAGCCACGGCCGCACTCCCTCGCAAATTCCCAGGCACTGAGGACTGTGACTGTTATGTGAGGAATGTGAATGGCAAGTGCTGCTGCGCTCAGTAGATCTGAGCCGGTCACAGAGAGATCTTCGTGATCTCTCCGCTGGCTCAGTGACTAAAAAACACGGCCCTCCTGTTGCCATTTTGGTGTTGTGTTGGGGGGTGATTAGGGTGTGCCCAGGCACACCAGGAACACCCTGTGCGAACGCCTATGGTGCTGAGCAATCAAGCTTGCCGCTTTTTTTATTTTTTATCATTGGCTTTTGTTCAGTTAGAAGACAGCCCAATGGCGTCTCCCAAATTCTGTTCAAAATGCACTGCGTTAGCATAATGAAGACTGCAGAAAATAGACTTCTTATTATGTTATGGTCATAGTTAGTTACCCCTCAGACAGCTAAAGAATGACACACCAGACCTGTGCTGTGCGCTACTTGGCCAAGAAAATTCCCCTTTGACCTTTTGTATTATTGTATTGTGACTTTGAAATGTGACCAAATGTCCCTCTGTCTCCTGCAGGTGGTACTCGCGACCCACCGGGTCAGTGACCAGAAGGTGGCCGTTAAGATCGTCAAGAAGAGACCTTTGCTTCCGGGATACGTCAGCAGTGCCCATACAGAACGTCTTGTTCTGCAGAATAACAGGCACAGCCCCTTCATGACCTACCTACTGGGCTCCTTTCAGACAGAGGTGAGTCTTGTCATCTAGCCCTTTCTCCCCAAACACAGGCTACGTTATATACGCGGCTGCTTTCTGAAGAAACACCGGAAGACTTTGCCCGCCTTTAGTTGTGATACACCTTGAATGTTGTTAGCGGTTCCGTTGGGCTTTAAGCTTTTTGAGAGTCCATGTTTCTTTCAAGCTGGTGCAGGACTATGTCCACACAGGAAGCTTGTGGGGAAATTCCTCCAACTCGACCGAGAAGACCACCACACCGCACTTGTCTGCCTCTGTAAATTCCCCCATAAGATCCTTAATGTCTTTTGGTGTAACCGGAATCCCTTTCCTTTCTTTTCCCACAGGAATGCCTCATGTACGTCATGGAGTACCTGAGCGGAGGGGACCTTGATGATCTAATTAAGGTGGAAGCTCCAATCTCTGGTCCCACATTACGGTAAGATTGATGATAGGTCATGCTGGAGCCGGCGTTGGCTTAGCACTGAGGACAGGCAGTGGTTGTAGCCAGGCCTTTTCAGCTCAGCCCCATCCATTCATACACCTATGTACTATATCTGTAGGATGGAGTCACCTCACCATCCTACAGATAGGATCCTTTATCTTTGATTGTTCCGTGATTAGTTTTTTGTTTTCCATTTTAACCCTCATTTTTCTTTTCCATCAGAATCCTGACATCAGAAATCCTCTGCGGCCTACTGCACCTTCATAGCAGAGGAATCCTGCACAGGTAAGGATCGGAATCATACCGATGACAATGGAGTATAGACCTCTTGTTTTATCTTTTCTCCAGGGACCCGAGTCCTCCCTAATGGTGGTTTAACACACAAAGCTTACTGTTCTCCTTCTACTTGCAGAGATTTGAAGCCAGGAAACGTACTCCTGGACAGCAGAGGCCATTGCAGAATCTCTGATTTTGGCCTGTCTGTCACGGATATGTTTCATCCTCGGAAGATCACAGGACTTGCCGGCACCCTAATGTATATGGCCCCTGAGGTAAGAAGCTGTCTGCTGATTTCATTGTAGTGTTTGTCTAGATACAAGGCTCATCCTTACTGAATCTAAAAGAGCTAAAGGGGCGTTCTGCTTGTGTCCCGGGTGCTATCAGTTAATTCGCGGGCCAGAACTACATCACCGACAATAGGTGGCAAGTTCTTAGACTACAGAAATGTTGCCCCACATCTCCAGGGGGTGGGCACATATACATTGAGACCTGGCTCCAGCTCCTTTGTAGAATCAAGACATTAGCAACATCATTGTCACCATCCTCATCCGCTCTGCCAGATGATGAGCCAAGGGAGAGATACCAATGAGGTGGAAGCTTCAGCCACTGCTGATGTCCTGCAGTCCTTCCTCACTCCATTTGTCCTGGTGGCCATTGTTACTGGGACAGGAATGGGAGATCCAATGTGAAGAGAAATCTTCCAATGGGTAAACCTATTCTCGTCTCCTCTTTTAAACTCCATTTCCACAAGCTCCGTCTTAATTTGATGCTTCATGAGCAAACCCATTGGGATCAAGTCCGGCACTTTGTCATCCTAACAATCTTAGTAAAGTCAGGATACTTGGGAGGCTCCATACATTGCATATGCCAGCGCTGTGTCATTTCTGTCCTCTGCTTGGTGTGACAATGTACTCATCTTTCCTCTTTTATGTTTCTACAGGTATTATGCGACCTACCGTACGGATTGGCGTCGGATTATTTTTCTTTGGGGGTTATGGTGTATAAGATGGCGACGCGCAAAAACCCGTACTATGGCATGGACATAGGCATGTTGCTACATGTTTTCCTGCACAAAAAGCCCAAGTACACCAGGGACCTGGATCATAAAGCCAAGGACCTCATACGGAGGGTGAGTATACACCAAGCTTTATACAGGAGAGGAGACAGCATGTAGAGGAGGGGAAAAAAGCATCATGGGTGAAGTTTTGGCAGGGGCGGACCACATTTGCATATGCGAAACCCCCGCTCTGTTTGAGAAACAGTGGAGGTCATTTATTGAGGCAATGGCATAACGAATAACGTGCATGTTGGGTGTAAACATGTTGGCAAGAATCTGTGGGTCTGGTTGTGCCAGCAAATTTTGGCATGATCGTGCAGACATATAGAGACTGTACGCCGATTCTCAGGTTAGCCTATGCACAGATTAGCAACTGCACACATCAGACAGTTGTGATCGATGTCCTCCGAATGTTCATGTACGCTATCATCTCCTGCCTGAGGCCGAACAGAACAGCAGGTTGTCCGGCACACACAGGAAGCCTGCAATAGGCAACTGTTAGAGGGAAATTTGAGAAAGTGGGGTTCTATTGTCTAATTCCTTATTTCTGTTTCTTTGTTACAGCTGCTGGAAATAGGATCGTTTTCCAGATATAAGAACGTCCAGGGTCTCAGAGAACATCCATTTTTCCATGGCACCAATTGGGCCATTTTGGAGTCCTGTGCAGAGCACCCAATAATCCGTTCAAGACCAGTAAGTACATGAATAACAGAGGGGTTCGGGCACATTTTGGGACGGTAGAGGATTTTCGAAGCATATCATAGGTTTATCGTATTTGCTCTATCTGCATTCATTGGGATCAGGATGGGATTATTCAGTGAAAATACAAAGGGAAAAAGGAAAATGAATGCAGCCACCACTAAGGGGTTATAAGCTGGAAAAAGATTCAGATTTTGCCTTTGGGTTTAGGTATCCTTCACCTACACATGGGGTGGGTGAAAGTCGCTGAGGTGTTTCTGCACTTTTTGCATCGGTTAATGACTTTGACGTATGCCTTTTTGTCTCTTTCCAGCTTCCGGAGGCACCTCTAGATCAGATCATCGATCTAGCCGAGGTTGTGTCCTCTGCGCCACATGATCCCATACCCGCGCAGCATCAGCAGCTCTTCAGCGGCTTCTCCTTTTTGGGAGACCAGCTGAAGCCATAATCTCCACCATCGGCACATGATCAGCCTAACCACGGGTAAAGAAATGCCAGCCACACCACATGACTCCGAGCCAGGACGTGGACGCATGGTCACTATCTGATTATGACCACGTCCCATGCACGGAAGTGTGAAAACCATCTCACGGACGTCACCGGACTCCTTATTCACATTCTTCATCTACAGCATCAATGTGGATCCAGTTCCAGCCAACTGGCTTCGGAAAAAGGAATGGACCGAGTTCCTAAAGGTACAAACTAGAACCACAATTTCCCATACACTGTAGTCCTGACAGTGCTCACCCTTCGGAAGTCTCATAACATAAGCAGTGCCTTTTCCGGAAGGGATGCTTCTGGGAATGTACTGTTTATTCTTAGAAGACATCTGAATGGTGGGCCCTGTCAGGACTGAAAAGGGGGAAAAGGAAGTTCTAGTTTGGACCTTTAGAAACGTGTCCATTTCTGGTTCTGAATCTACTTGGCTATAGCTAGATCCCTGTTGATGCTCTGATTGGAGAACACATATAAGGAGTCTCTGCCGGGGCGAACGTTACATCAGTTCGAGGCCTTTGCCTCTCCCCCAAGTGCAGCTTTTCATTGAGATGGTTTCCAACCGAAATATACCTGGCTGTTCATTTTCATCCGGGCCAGCACTGTAGACTGCTGATCCAGGGAGTACTCCAATCAGCAGACTAAAGCAACTTCATATCTTGGGCTGACAACAAGCATGCTGATAGGAGGAGAAAGCAAACTTACAGAATAATGAGCTGATCACTGTACTGCTTTTACTGCAACTGTCCAGTCATAGACTGAGGCGGATCCAGGATGACTTGGTCTCAGAGCAAGTGGGTAGGTAGATTATGATGGCCATTAGACCCCAAGGACACCGAGTGCCAGAACACCAAGCACTGCGTGGAAAACCTCTGGGCTGAAGCGTAATATTTCAGCTAAACAGACACCTCTGGACAACCTATAGTGGTCGACGTATTTGGGTTTATGTCTGTGATATATACAGAAGGCCCAGAAATAATTGCTCACTGACCGTTACGGCGGGCCCATTTCACAGCTGAAGCCTTAGAACATACTATCAATCAGCTAGAAGAGGGCCTGCTTTTTCAGCTACCTGCTGATACTTGGAGGACAGTAACAGACCTCACGGTACATGCACAGCTAGCTCAGCACACGAAGGGCAAGGAGAGGCAATAGAAGAAGTTCTCCATTTTGTTATTCCCGAACTGGAATCATCCATACTAGGGAAGAACTAACTTGGAGGCAGAAGGAGGAAAGGGGGACATTGCAGAACTAAGAGAAATGGGTGTAGAACAGAAAGGGTTCTCACCCAGCTTCAGATGGTAAAGGGTTGAATTTGGCAATCACACCCAGAACCATCCCTGTAGTGGATATTATCTCGGCCACTGAGGCCTCGATCCCCAGTAACAAAGTGCCACAGGGTGAGCCTGAACAACTTCACCTAAAACTGTCTGCAGCCCTGGCGAGTGCCAAACCACCTCCGTCAAACCTGACTACAGAAGGCAGGAGGACGTTTACATCCCTGAAGAAAGACAAGAGGATGATCATCCTGCCTGCTGATAAAGGAAGATGCAAAGTTGTACTTAATACATCTGACTATGATGATAAGGTGACTGCACTTCTGAATGATAACAACACATATGAAGCCCTAAGAAGGGACATAACCAGTGGTTACAAGAAGAAAGCTATAGATCTGCTACAACAGCTGGAAATGGACAAAGCCATTGATCGGGCTATGTATCATCACCTCTACCCTGGTGAAGAAGCCCCTCTGGACCACCTATAGTGGTTGACTTATTT